TTCGATGTGTACGCCTTGTTGGGACGACATGACTCTCGTACGGCTTGCACATATTACACTTTCTGCTTATATACCTGGCGAGCATTATTTGACATGTTCAACCTGTCAAATATGCAAGTCGAACGCAATAATTGGTCTCGCAGGGTGGCATGTAGCCTAGCGGCCATGGGCTGGACCGATCCGAGACCTGCAAATCAGCCAACTAAATCGATGTAAAGTAAAGATCGCCGCCTGTTGATTACGCCTCAGAACCGTTTTATGAAATTACTTCGTGGGGCATTGTCACCTTCTATACTTAGATGACATGGCTTGCTACTGTGTTATGGTGTTGGGCATTTTGACATGGCCCAAGCCATATGCTAGTTTTGTTGTCAAAAGAGCGACACTCACCCAACCTGTCTGGAAGGCAAAGGCATAGCCGAGGCTGACCTGAAACGGTTGTGAGAAGATAAGTTAGAACTTTGCAGAAGACGTATGTAGAGGTCTTGTTGGTGTGAACCCGTTACCCACTGGCGGGGTTTGTGTTGCAGACAAACTCTACTGACGAGTGGCAGTGCTTGATACCACAGGGTAGGCGATACTCATGGTGAGGTTTGGAAGACAATCCTTGCCTGGGCCCAATCGGAAGGACCACGATGCAAAGCCTAACTTGTCATGATGCCCCCCTCCTTACCCCTCAACTCGTGACATTACGATTCAAGTCTCAAGCCCTAGCTTCGTCGAGGGAGGAGAGGATAACCGAGAGCCGAGAATAGCAGCGGTACAGATGACAAGAGTTTGTCGATATAAGTCATCATGGCCGACATCACTGAGTGGATCGAACCGGGGTAGGCGTCCAAAGCACAACACCTTTCAAAAACTTGGCGTTGATGAACGAATAACTAAAGTTAGAATTTTCACGCAGACGAAAGGAAAACCCCGACAAAGGGAAATGAAAAGGAAAAGAAAGGGGAAGACCCGAAGGATCGAAATGGGGCTAAATCCATCCATCGCAAATGCAAGAAGAGGGAGAATGTTCTGAGTCTGAGGCCTAAGATCCATCCCATGCAAGCACTTTACGCGCGGCGCGTGCACCCGGTGTTAGTTAGATTGGGAGACTGACGCCATGGTCCTCTTCCTCCTATGCCTGATACCTTGACTTGAACCGGACCTCTAGGCTTCAAACCAGCTACCTGTCACCTGCTAATCAGGCTCCTCCCTCGCTTTGACATCCTCTGATGATCTTTGCTGTACTGTTCAGAGCTTGGATACGTCTCCCTCGAACTTGTCTCGCTGGGGGAGGGGGCGTCAGCATTTGCTTCGCTATGTTTGTGGGTTTGTGGAGGCTCGCCGAGCCGAGCTGAGCTGAGCTGACTTGAGCTGAGCCTTGGGCTAGGCTGGGTTTGTTGCGGATGCAGGCCTTCCATTCCTTTTCGTTGTCTCGTCTGCAACCAAGTTTCGAAAAACAAGAGGTGCATTTTAATGCCAATGCAACGCACGACTCGCTCCCAACATTGCAATGCATGTACCCATTTCAAGGCCCCTCCTTCAATCTCTAACTAGACGCTGTGATTGGAGAGCTTGCCGCTCTTCGCGCAGGGATCCTCCTGTCTCGTGCCGACGGAGTACATGTTGATGTCTGAGAATATCAAGTCAGTGGTACGGCACACGGCAAGACATACTCATGCCTTTTACTTTTGACAATCCATGCCATGGTGTTTCGATATTTGCTCCGCCTTGTTCCTTCGTCTCAAAGTTCTTCTTGGCGTTGACTTATGCTCAGAACTTGTGTCGGTACATCATTGAGTAAGCCAAGTGGTGTGTTCAGCACGATGGCAGTGCAGAGGCTTTAAAGGCTTCTGCCAGGTTGCATATGCCGTCCATATGTCCGTGATGTATGAATTAGAGATGGTGGTATTTGTTTACGATGGGCATTTTGATGTGACTCGGCATATTCCATGTTTTGCACTGTTTGGGCGTTTGGGTTTCTCCAGAGGAGTTTCGTCCGACCGACAAAACATTAAAAGTCGAGCAGCAGGAAGGTAGAGATGAAGACATAAGAACTACTGCCACAAAGAAACAGTCTCTAGATCGTATAGAATGTCACTTAGTGTTGTTCATAATGTTGAACCAATGCTAGTGATACACAGCATGTTGTAGATACCGGCATGTATTGCAGCTATATGCACTTGGCGCGATAGCCATGTTGATTGGAAGTACTGTATGAGGCAGCCGGTGCTTACGCAGGAATCAGCCCCTGGTATCATGGCTAGGGTCGTCCTGAGTGCTAAATAAACAGACAGCATTTGCATTCACTATTAACCTCAGGTTCCATCTAAGCGGGATGGCCAGATGACGCCCTGTTCAGATTACGCTGCCGAGACTTTTGCTAGTCGTGATTAGTTGAGTGGCAATCTACTATGCCCATGAAGATATACCATAATATTTGGCACACTGAAGCTGAACTACTATGGCAGCCGACTCAAAGACCCCCAGCCATGTCAGGGTGAGGATGGAGTGAGGAGTGAGAGGTGGACACATGGCGAATCTGGATGGTAGGTATCATATGCATGTCATAAGAGAAGATTTATGCCTCAAGCTTAGTAGGGTAGAGAGGCAATGACTCATTGTTTCTAGGATGCCATATAATCATGGCAAGCTACAATACCGGACTTAGAAGTGACGAGGTAGAATTTGATGCCAATATATTCAGAGGATGACTTTAATCCTCATCATCAGGGAGAGAACCGGATATAGAATGGGCATTCAACGAAACCTGATGGCAGCATTTGAAACGTGTGTTTATACAGGATGTGCCTCTAGTTTACTGGAAGAGATCCAGCCTTGCTGTAGTATTGCAGCCATCGTAGTAACCGAGAGGATGCATCTTACCCTGCGGCCAAGCTCTTGGGCGGTAACTCGAGAAAACATCATGATCGTTGAACTGGGAGGATATGTTCGCGCAGTAGTAGAGAATGATTGAAACTAGCTAGTTACATCGTCTGCAGTGTCAACGGTTGTTATGTTGCTGAAGATTATTGCGAAGGTGCTAGCATTGTGCCAACACTCTTCGTCTTAGTAGCTCCAGCGGGGCCATATTCGATAGGAGATGAAAAGAAATCTTATGGACGGTTGTATAATATGCCCAGTTTCTTCAATACATCTCCGTTCAGGGAGGTCGGTCAAACACAGCCTGGAATAGCATCTGGTGTCTGTATTGAAGCATAGGGTCAAACTCTGAGAGTACCCTACCTTTACATCATCTATCGCAGACGAGAGTACATCAACAGCAGTTTGGGAGAGAGTACCCGGGGAGTCGATTGGTTTGACAAGCACATGCAGAGTAATGCCATATAGATATCGGGGTATCAGATACCAAACTTCACGAGTCCTGGCACAGACATATATCTCGAAACGCTGGCTTAGACATTTTACAACGCGGTCCTTGATACGACAGAAATCGTTCAGTGTGACCCAATCAAGGATAAAGAACTACAAAGATAGCTTTACACTATGCGTTGTGATGCAGGGATGTCGTTGCCCAGCTAGACGACGAGTTTATACATATTGCCTATCTGCGCCCAAGGCTTCACGTAGTAACTCTGTTGCATGTTGTCTCATGCTTAAACAATGAAGTATGTTTCAGGACAGTTCATATCGCACAATAGCAGGGTACTTCGGTCCTGGCTATATAGATCAGAGACAAAGAAGCCGGGCGATGCTTACGGGTTGACACGCCTTGATGTAGGAACCCGCAGCGCATATTGCATGTTGGCCAGCCCTGCGGTTGTAAGTGCAACTACCGACAGCTGCGGCCTCACACAGGCAAAGACATTCAATCTCAGTAAGCTAGAGTAGAGTTTGGCATAAACATGTTTGATAAGACAATGGTTTTGTGAGTCTGTCACAGATGAGGGAGGGGGGAGATAACTGCCAACGCGTTCATTCTGCACATTCATCGCCCGTGTTAGCCCGACAAATCACAACATGAGATGAAGGTCACTCTCGATAGTTTCGCGTTATACTCTCTTGCTGTCGGGTCTTCGGCATCTCATCCAATAAGTGGGAACCTCTGGACCCCTGAAGTGTGTGACGTCGATGACTGGGAGGCCGCAGGACAAGGGTTCCCAGGCCAAAGGGTTCGTTCTTTTGATAGTGATGATGGAGGACTTGCCCTTTTCCCTTTTGCTACAGCAGCTTCTCGCCCTGTTGGAGTAGAGGGGAAAGGTAAACGCAATGCAATGCAAAGTATCCGTAAAGGAGAGAAGAGAAGTGGAAGCAGAAGTGTAATGTTACATTCGTAAACTCACGGCTCAGAACAAGGACCCGATTCGACTCCCGCGTAATCCGATATCTACGGTAATACGTGGTGATCGACACAGAGAGTCCAAGCCACAGACTAACCAAGCTGTAAGAGTCTGAGGGATAAGGTCCTATTCATCCTGCTTCCTCATAAACAAGATGTATTTCCCAACAATTCTCTCGATATTTTTCTAATAATCCCAAATGAATTTACACTCTCTTTCGTGATACTCTCGCGGTGTGGCCGTCTACTTATACGTCATATAGTCCTCTCTCCAACCAGGACATCCCTGTTAGGTCTTTATCCGGTACCAAAACACAAACACATTTTAGTTCAGAGATTCCCCGTGAGAGGTCAAAGGTGAAAGAAACAGGGAAGAATCAGTCAGGTTCTTGCTGAGTCGTGGGTCCTGCTTCTGGTTAGTCGAGATGCAATTCCCTACTCCTACTTCTCACTGCGAAACGGAATCGCCCCAGCTAAGCCAACTCTGACTCTGACTCTGACTCCAATTCTTAGAGTGCTGGTCCATGTTCGGGCACAATTTTCGTCTTCAAATTTGAAGAAAAAGCCCCAATTGAAAGAAAAAACTGTCATAAAACTTAGCATCAATTGCTTTCGTACTCCTCGCTGTCGTCGCTTATATCACTTACACCAAAGACCGTGAAACATTGGTCCTTAACATACAATTCGCTACTAGTACTAGCGAGTCTTGGCCAGCATGGAGCGCTCTCGGAATGGCTCGTTTGAGCGACGCAGCTCAGTCAATTCTGTTCCTCGCAGACAAAGAACGAGTGCGTCTTCGTCTTCGTCACCTTCGCCCAGAGGCAGGACACCTTCACCATCTCGTGGTCGAGTCCAATCTTCTCGTGGTAGACCTTCATCCTCTCGCCAGACCTCACCATCACGCTCCAGATCTCGAGGTAGAACCTCCTCACGCTCCATCTCGCGCTCGCCCTCTCGTCGCAAGAAGCACAGCGGCGACCACCACCATCACCATGGTCTCTTCAAGACAACCGCCGGCCTTCTAGCAGGAATTGGCGTTGCTACTGTTATAGCGCACAAGGTCTGGCCCAAGGGGATCCTGTACGGCGACCACGAAGACTGGGAGCACCCTCACCCCAAGCACCGTCACCCAGACCGCCCGCAACACCGGCGTCGCCGTTCACTGGAGGGTGGTGAGCGTATTGTTGAGCGCACAGCCAGACGCCACGGCGACGCTGTCTACTACGAAGAGGTCAGTCACAGACGTCCTCAGAACCACGAGAGGATGCCGCGGCTTGAGCACGATAGGACATGGCAGTCTTCTGAGCGCCTGCCATATCCTCCTGATGATCCTTATGCTCATGGCCCGCCTGTGTACAGGGCTGAGCGGAGAACTGTCGTTCAACCTGTGCATATGCCCTACTGAGTGACGGCTTGCAGACTGAGACCGAGATGAGAAGGATTACTGTGCAATCTGCTTCGATACGATTTATGCCCATGCTAAATAGGGAATGGGTTTGTTTGTTTTGGTCGAATTATGGCGATATTAGGTTGGGCATATGCGTGTTTTGGCAATGATGCGATTCAACTTCTGTTATGAGACTATGATATGGCGCCAGGTATAAATATGCACGAGTTACACTTCAAGAGATATGTTACAAAGTATTCTATACTATTCGTGAACTATGGGACTCTACTCGATGCGATCCTTTCCGAAAAACACGCCAAGCAAAACACCCACTACTGACCTATTTGTATGTGTATCATAAACCTCCGTAAGTCAATCCGCCATTCACCATCTATATAATTTATTCACATCAGGGCTCGCTTGATCCTGGCGAGGAAGGGGGGCTGCTGGATAGATTCGCTGTAATCTCCCTTGGCGCTGCCCTTTCTGCTGCTTCTCGCCAACCCACACCAGCAGTCCGTCTCACGAAGACTGTGTTCAAATTATCTCCGAAATACCTCTCACGACGAGTAGTTTTCCTCTCGCCTCCTTCCATGGCCGAGTAGGCACTGCGTGTGGTGCGCATTCTCTTTCGCTTGCCGCCTTCGCTTAAGAGGTTACTCAGTTTAAGCCGCTCTTGCATTAGGTCGCTGTCAAACTCGACGATCCCTCGTACCCACGGCGCCACATCTAGGACGATGAGCTTTGTGGTGCGATCGAATACTGACGGGTCAAGATAACTGGCCACTGCTATCTTCTCATTTATGGCAATGGGGTCGAATGCATGAGCGAGATCCATCCGGTTTAGAGATGAAGCTTGTGGCTCAAATGAGTGGCCAAGCGATTGAATAACTCGTTTCTCTGTAAGTGGCCCAAGAACAGAGGTGGATGTTGTGTTAAGTGTAGATGAGCCATTTAGAAGCGTTTGTCTCGCAAAAGATTTGAGAGACAACGAGAGGTCGATACTTGGTGAAGACGGCATGACCTTGGGGTCCGCCTCAAGGAGACGACGTCCAACGATAAAATCGTCTCGCATCTTCCCCGGCATATCAGGCAGCCCTGGGTCGATCATTTCCTGGAAACAGGTTCCTAAGCTGCCGCTTGATAGAAGATCTGCGTCACTCATCGAAAGGCAGAAGTCGTCGAAGAGTGCAAGTGCCTCAAACTTCTTACTTTGTTCCGATATGTTCTGAGACAGGCTGTCTGCCCAAGACTGCAAATCCAGTGTGGTGTCCCAGTTACCGAGATCCAGAGACCACGAGTCCCATGCTTGCTTCATTGCTTCCTCTTCCGATCTCATTGAGTCAGGGCAGGCAACTATCAGATCACGGCCGACCCAGCCCATGCCCTTGCAGTACGTATCTTCGCTCAGCACTCGTACCACGTCCCCGTTGTCATCTAGGTCGGAGCCCTTGGGCCACCGCAGGTAGAACCAATCGGATCCTCCCTTGCGGTCTCCAACTCCAATCTGACACCAGTAGTTGAGCTCTGTTAGCGAAGACCTTAAATCGTTATTGCGAGACTTGTACAAGGCTTCAACCGCTGTGCGTCGTAGTATATGGCCCTCGTTAGCTGCTGTAAGAAGGCAAAGGTCGACAGCAAGATCGATTGGTGGAGGTGAGAAGCGAAAGATGCCATGGAGGTTGAGGGTTTGGAGTGGTACCATGCTTTCGTCGCTACAGGTCATGATAAATGGCCGTTTCGATTGTGCCATCATGCTAATCAGTGTCGCCCAGAATTGCTTATCTTCTTCGTATAAAATATCCACCTCTTCCAGCAGAATCAAGGACTGCTTTTGGCTCTTAGCCGAGCTGGGTTTCGGCGTCTCGGTCAACTTTTCTCCAACTGGCTTTTTGACAGGTGGCTTGGAGGTTGCTGTCTTTTGGAAGAAGGTTGTCATCGTGCCTTGCTTTCCAGACTTCAAGTCGCGAGACACTTCGTCCTCCTCTGCTACTTCAGAACCAGGATTGGCACGGTGTTGTTGAACAAGATGATTCCGCGTCATATCGCCGACCTTCTCTAGAATATCTTTGCCGCTTCGTCTACTTCCAGAATGAATTTCGAATATCTCAAAACCCAGTTCTTTTGCTATAGCGTAGACGGTTGCTGTCTTGCCACAGCCGTGAGGACCACTGATGACAACTGCATTCGTCAGTCGTCCCTGGTCCTTGGCTTCCTTTGACATGTCACCGTTTCGGACGACGGTTTTCTTTTGCAGCCCTGAGCCGGTTGGTGCCCAATCGTCCTCGTTTTCGGAAATTTCGTCCATCTCATTTGCCTCATCTTCACTATTGACGATGAAATCATTCAGCTCGTCCTTCTTTCTTTTCTTTTTTGGTGCTGCCTTCGACTTTGCTTTTCCCTTCTTCGCCACACCATCAAGACCTACTGAACTGACAGACTGAACCTGGAGTGTTTGCAGCCAGTCTCTGAGTAGAAGGGCCTCCTTTCCAGCCTGGAGAATCTCCGAGGCTGCAATGGGCGCATACTTCTGCGTCCAGGCCAGCGACTCGCACGTCGACTTATCATATGCAGAAAGACTTGTTTCTAGCGCGTCGTATAGTCGATTGATAGCGGAGTGCGTTCTATAATGAGCACAAGCGGCGTCATCCACTAATAAATCATCGTCTTTGCCAACGGCTATCCGTTTCAATGTTCGTAGTTCTGGTCGGATACGTTTCTGAAGTTTTCGCCCGCTTTGGAAGTGTCGGGAAGGTATTCGGAGCTCCTTAGGTGCTGGCTCAAAGGTGTAGTCATTTCTAGGAAGTGAATCTCGAATAGCTTTAAGATCCATGCTGGTGCAAAACTCGTTCAGCACAGATTCATCAGAAGTAACTATCACGGTAGAGCCTTTGGACTTCTTGACCATGTGTTCCTGGGGTAAAGGTGTTGAAGAACCAAGTTGATCGTCAAATCCACGAACATGTGCCATCCCCTGCGCCGGCCATAGAGGTTGCATAGCACCAGGAACCTTAGCCACGCCCGTTCTGGCTCCAAATTGAGGGGCTTGCCCTCTCACAATGAAAGGGTTTCGAACCTTCTTCGGGGACATTGGCGTGGACATAAAGACTGTCTGCCGTGCTGGTTGCCTTTCATTGGCAACGCTATGCTTTTCTGTTTTCATGGCTTGCTTTGCCTTTCCACCAAAGAACGGATGCGTGGTCTTTGATGTATCAGCAGTGGCAGCAGCACAACTCTCCTTGGCCTTTCTTCCACGCCTTTTCGGTGGGGTTGGAGGAAATAGGATCTTGCCTTCCAGAATCTGAGAGATCTTATCACCTAAATCTTTTCGGTCGGCGTCATCACGTCCGTATTTCAAGCATATTATGCGTGATGGAATGTTTTTCGGCTTGGGTTTCGGTGGAGAGCCCAATGTCCCTGTCTTTGGGTTCCATTTCAGGATTTTGGCGTTACTCGTATTAGCATCGATACTAGGGAGATTCGAAGGGTTGGCGGAAGTAGGCTGCAGAAGGTTCTCGGTAGACTTTATTTGTGTGTCATTCGTCGAATTTATTAAAGCGTCGGAATAAACCCTATTGGGCCCAGTGTTACCAAGACTCTGCTCGATAGTCGCGTTCGCGTGATTCGAGATAGAAAGTCTCTCACTCTGGCGTTTTTGTCGTTGCTTCTTGGGCCCAGGTGCATCGTTTTGAGGCGCCGTATCGGTTTTTCGACGCTTCCTGCCTATTGGCAATTCTTGTGTAGGTTGGTTGTCTTCGGGAAGTGTTTCGTTGCTCGGGATTGTAGGAGCCGGGTCTGAGGTGCTGGAAGAGCTGGCAAGGTCGGCAGCTGGGCCTTTGGAGAAGAAAGGGTGAACTTTCTTTGCCTCCATGTCCCTCATGCCTTCTGGGGCCATTCTTTCGATCAAGATGGATCCCATTGATGCGTGAGACTCTGGACAAGATTTTATGTCAGCGTGCAATCGCAGCGAACTCAAAGTTCGAAGGCTAGGTATGTACCTTAGACTTAAAGTTGAACGACCATTTCACGAATTAGAATGCAAAATAAGAGACGGTATAAGGCCAGAATGCAGAGTTTGGCATTAAAGTGAAAAGAATGAGTTCAAATATGAGGCATGTATTGTCTTGATGCAAATGAACAGAAAGCGTTGCCCGTGGATATGGTAGGTTAAAGAGCTTGGTCCAGGGTTCGCGTTAGAGTGCTAAAGTGGTAGCACTGAACGCGTCGATTTACGCGCCAAGTGCAGAGTACGTCAGGGATCATTGAAGTGCATTCGGGTGGACCCCACAAAGACCGCCCCACCATCGGAATTTGTTACGGCCCGCTCCAACTTTTTTTTTTGTGAAGCTTCACTTGTCGATCGCCTGAAGAAAAGTGAAGGTTGAAAGATTCCCTTCCACGAATTGTATTTCTTGAAGCCCACGGTATAACTCAGCATTGCAATACCGTAGTCGCCATGGCTTCTGAGTACAGAATACACAAGCCATATGTGCTGGCGACTCTTCCTCGACCCCTCGACCACACTGAAGGTCGCATTGTTGCGCGGGAGGTTTATGGCTTGCGCGATGGCCAGAAGAAGAGGAAGAGGACAGAACTGGTTGTTGGTGTAGACGGAGAGACAACAAGCATCTACGATGTATGTTTCTTGTCTGGGCCTTGCAATAAACCTTTACTAACACTGCGCAGGTCCCCGCATCAAGACTGATAACTTCGTATCCTATTCCGCCTCAAGAATCCTTCACCTGCGCTCCTTACTCGGTCCGAATTCGACGATCTGGCTCAAACGATGTTTCACGGTATACATATATCGCTACCCGTGACTCTACCGGCCAAAAGATCTCGCTCTTCAAGGACGTCGTGCACCAGGATGGCAAGACTACCTCCACTACGATCGCTTCTCCGGTTCTAAAGACATCGCCTATCCGATACGTCACCTGTAATTCAAGTGTTTCGGAGACTTCAAACGTAGGAGATGTGATCGTCGTCTGCCAGAATGGCGAGTTTATCTCCCTGTCCGCCGAGACCCTCGCGATTCTATGGACATCATCTTCGAAATCTGCCTTACAGGACGCTATCGCAACTCAGATCGAGAGCTTCGAAGTGGACTACATTACCTCAGGCACGCTTACTGAGTTTAGTGAGGGAATCTTCAAGGACAAGCCTGAGATCTTTAGCGCGCTTCCTAAAACTCCTGATTCTGAGCCTGAGCTGGTTGCGCTTGTGTCGAAAACTCTCAGCCAAGGCCAGGAAAGTCGACATTCAGTTGTTCTGGCTGTAGCTTCAGGGATTTCTTCCGCTTCTTCAGATATTCAGAAGTTGTCGCCTCTCGAGATCGTTCCTATTGGCACTCCTTCACCCCGTGGTGCTGAAACAGCTGTCTATCAAATTGATGTGCAAGCAGCTCTCCTTATGCAGCTTCGACAAGGCTCTCTTAGCATCTACGACCTCACCACCCCTGTCCCGAAGCTCAAGTCCGTGGTGCAAATGGAGAACGCAGTTTCCTTCGCCCGCCTGTCACGACCATTTGTTCTGTCATGCTCACTCGAGTCTATCGGTCTCTACAACCACCAATACCGCTCGATTCATGCAAACGCATCCCTTGACCTATCCGAGGTCCTTACCGAAAGCGAAAAGCCTCAGAGCTGTCAATTGATTAGCTACTTGCGAAGCCAGGAGCTAGTCGTGGCCCTGGTAGATAACGTCCTTGTCTCAATCCAAATCGAGCCCCCTAAGAGCCATGGGAAGCGAAGGAAGCAGGGTTTGCTCATTGACTCTATTGGTCGTGGAACTGCCACCGAAATCCCTGCGAAGAAAGCAAAGACAGACAAGCTATCAGCGGAATTCTCCAAATATGTCCCTGGCTCCATGACGGAGCAGTACATGACTAAGCTTCGCAGTGAACTTGACATTGCAGACGGACATCTTGCAAAGGGTGACCTTGGTGAATGGGAGGGATTGTTGCGAAGACGATTCCGTGTAGGTCTACGATCTGCAGCCGACGCCACCGATGCAAAGGAGGAGAAGGACTCACAGGAACTTCCAGAGTGGGAGTGGCTCTCAGGGGGAGCCTCATATGCGATGGTTGACCGACGTTGGGTTCTCTATGCCATTGGGCGAACATTTTCCATCTCCACGACTGAGGCTCCGGAATCGCGCCCCAAGCTGCAACTCATTCTACCCGACACAAATGTCACATCCTACCTGGTTGTTGCCGGACACCTGACCCTCTCAAACCTCAAGGCTGCATTCAGAGATGAATTTGATGTAGAGGCTCTTGACGGCAAAGCTATTGTGGAGGACCTCCTGACAAGCCTGACAGATGCTGATCCATCAATGACGCTGGTGTTGAACTACCTTCAGGCCACCCAGCTTAGCGAGTTGGAACTCCTCCTGGCTATTCGCGCTTTGATGCTCAACCTTGACCTCATCCCCGATCCTAAGAAGCCAGCTAGCAACAAGCTTTTGAAGAATGAGGCACATGATGGGGTTGAAAACTATGAAATGGATCTCGACGATCTTGAGCGAGACATCGCGATCACGGAATACTACCTTGGCGACGACAGCAGCAGCCGTTCACGGGGACTCACATTGGCGTTCACTAAGCTATGGCGCTTGCCAGCGATAACTACGGTCAAGGCTATTCGGGCTACGCTCAAGACGGAGGAGATTTTGTCTCTCATCTACACACTCCGAGTGGAACTTGTCCGAGGTGCGTGGACATCGCTGTACATCGACCCAACAAGCTTTGATTCCGAGGGTAATGACCCGCCTCCGGACGGTGTTATCACCTTGATTTCGGACCTCCTCGGTCGATGCCTTGATGCTGTCGGTGCCGGTGGCTGGTTGTTGAACGACGCTATCTCTAGTAACAAGTCCGAGACTGGCGATCTGTTGACCGCGCTGAAGCTTGAGGTGACTGCTGCTCTTGAAGGCCTGGAGGAGGCTGTGTACCTCAACGGTATCGTTGGCGAGGCAGTTGGCTTTGGCCTTGCATCTCAGAAGGGCGGCGCAGGCCGACAAGTATGGAACGCAAACAAGCCGGTCCCCATGCAAATGGAGGGTCGGGAATCTCGACTGCTCCCGTTGGGACTCAAGACGAAGCAAATGCCTACCAAGAGCAAGATAGTGTCGGGCGGCGAGGTGGTGCAGCGCAGTACGCGAGAGACAGGCCACCTGATCAGTCAGAAGGTGGAGGCATACTCGCTAGAGAAGCTAGCAATCTAAGGCGTCTTGGGAAAGTAGGGTTTCCTTTAAGGCGACCGAAAGATTTGCGCTACGGAGGCTTCATCCTGGAAGCACGTTGCCGGTTTGCGACACCACATGGCATGCGGCTGAAAGTCTCGGTGTTCATCTCTGGCACTAACAAGACTAGTCCCATAGCTTGGCTTACTGTGGAGGGTCCACGTTTCGATAAGCGGATTGGAAGAGTAGATGCGAGCCTACGCCCAGGAGCAGTGGTGAAGCATAAAAGAGACGCAAGAGCGTATCAAAGGCGAAAAGGATCGGCTACACACGGCGCATGTCAGGAGAGAAGAGGGTGGGTGCGAACATGTTAATTGGGATCACATGTTGATGAGATTTCGGTCTATCAAGACAGAATATGTCGGTCGGTTCTTTGTGGTTTATTTACAGCGGTCAAGTCAAGTCAAGTCATCTCAGCATGGAAGAGTCGGTAGCTGGATTTGGCATTTCATCCACATTATGGCAGAAAAGTAGTAGAAAGAGGCGTATCAAAAGAATGGATGGTTTAATCTTGGCGTCACAGATAAGTGTATGGCCGTACTACCTAAGAATCGTCTACTGCATGACATGTAATGTAATGATTACTCGCTTCGACAAAAAAGGCAACCGCATATGGGTTTACCAATTGTGGTTCGTGGTTTTCTTCCATGGCTTCGGTAAGGTACGTACCCTAGAGCACAATGACGGATAACGGCAATTGGCCTTTCGCCCTGCGCTGCGGTTACGTGCAGCCAGCGTGACGGTTCGTCCGCAATTGGGACTGACGTGTTGATCTTACACAAAGATGAGTCACCGAGTATCATGAAATGCCGAATGTACAGTACATCTAATGGGCACTTCGTACCAGAGCCTCGATGGTAGCCGAAAGTATATCGAGTGAATCAGTGGTAGGGGAGAAGAGGAATCTGCGTCGCAAATGGCTGCCTATCATACACTACACCACTAAAAGTCGGCATTGGTTTGGTGCTTTGTCTTTTTTTACGAGCACAGCCCAGTCTGGTCATAGCTCTCGCGGAAACACTGCCGGCATGCGAATGCTTATAGCTAATGCAAGAAGCCGAGCTTCACAAAGAATTGAGGCTTGAAAAGAGGGCTGCAGTGTAGGTAGACAATGTGATATTAAGAGCTATGAGGTAGGAAGCATGAAATAATTGGTACTAGTTGCATGAGCTCGGAGAAAAAGAAAAAAGAAAAAAGAGAAACATCGAAAGCCTTGCGTTGAAGATGGGATTCGGATTGTTCGGGCGGTTGTTAGAGTGGATGCTAGCACTGGGGACTGTGGGTATGGATGCTAAATTAGTGAGAAGCAAAGCACTCTAGGCACTCTAGGGGCGTTCTCACGAGGACAGGACGGGACGGCGGGGGGCTAGAAGCGAATGAGGAACTCATTGCGAAACTTAGTCGTGTTCTAGAAAGAGAGAAAGAAGTAAGACGAATGAGACGTTGGATTACAAATGGAGCAGAGCCAAAGTAAAAAGGCCGAGGCCGAGTACGAGACTGACTGGTGGATGATGTCGAGCAAACTCCCCAGGGACATGCATGTCATTGATGTTGAAGTTCCATTGTGATGAAATGATAGACAGGAGTCGAGCAGGCTGAAACAGTTGATCTCTTGCTGTTTTATCACCCTCCTTACTTTAACTCTCCCTTGTAAATGTCCGGATAAAACCCCTAAAGAGAACCCTGTGGCCGTTCTGTCCCTGGATGATGTTCGTCATTCATCCATCCTGATCATGAACCTTTAAGTTGTCTTTTTTTATTAGTCCCTCCAAGAAAAATGCCCCACGCAACGCCCCGTTGCCGAGCGGGTGGCGCAGTAAAACATGGAGCAAGCGGCAAAATAGAAAATAGAAAATAGGTACGCCAGGTAAAACGGTTCGCTCTGGCGAATGTCGAACCAATTAAGTGAACATAAGGTGAAACGAAGGGGCAGAGACCAAAGAGGGTGGTGACGGGTCATTCGTAGAGCAGCAAATTAATTCCAGTTGCGAACCCTGCAGAAAATCTAAACTGAAGCCAGCCCAGCCTTGAATGGCAATGGAAACGCAAATGCGAACGCAAATGCACAAGCGATGATGTAAGGCTACTAGTGTAGACAGCGGCTACCTACGTCACTAGACCCAGGACAAAGACCGGGGGCATTCTCCACTGTTCCCCGGAAATAGGTCAAGTGGAAGGGTCAAGGGTCAGGGGGAACCCCTTCAAGAGAGAGAGAAAGATGGATGTTCAGTAACAAATTCCTTTTTAGAGGGAGGCAACAGGGCAATGATCGGGGAATGCTAATCAAATATCATATAGTGAGATCATCATCATTCAAGTGATCGTGCTCAGTGACATGCATAGAGCAGCAGAGTTGTAGCTTGTGCCCGTGTACCTGAAAAATATCCATGTACTGTATCCGTACATCGTGAGATAAGCACAGAGTGGTCACCCTCACCTGAAGCTGTAGAGAAGTAAAGGTACTGTACATTCTGTTCTGTACCATCCACGCTTAAATTTTACACCACACCCACACAACCATTCCGTTTCTCTACTCCGTACAGCACCTAGTATCAAGTGATGGGCTCTGGGCTCTGGGCTCTGGGCTCTGGACTCTTCCGCGTGCCTGCTTAGGTAGACAATGAAGAAGAAAAGATACTACGTCTTTGTACCTCCCACCCTCCATGGAAGTTCCCAACCTTCATCTGGATTTGAACCTGACCCTGATCCTGATAAACATCCCCTCCATCTTCTCTTTCTCCCACTCCCACTCCCTCTCCCAACCCTTCCACTTTTCTTGCCGCTCTCTTCTTATTTATCCTTGAACATCTATCAACTTTTTACTTGGCATCCAACTTTTGCAGTTTGAACCCTTATAACCAAACCACCAACACTCCTTCTGCAGAAACCCACAGTAGCACCTGCTTTAGACCAACAACCACCGTATCTAGCGACAACACCTAGAGCGCCTGCCATTACCTCTATTACCTCGACAAATTCTATCAACAAACCCTTATTATAACCAGTCTGACTATACTATAACTCTAACCACATCAACTTTCCAAGCTCTTCTGAGCTCAAATCAGAAGCCATGAGCGGCGGCTCAACCGTCCAACACATCGACGCTGTCGATGCTCTCGCCCGAACTCTCTATCTTCGCGCCAAACAGTCAGGCCTTCCATTTACCGACGTAGCAAATGCCGTCCGAAACCTCCATCTAGCCCTGCGACATTTACGCATCGAAGCAGCTGATCAGGATTCTCTTCTCAACAACGCCAACGCATCTTCCTCATCGCTCTACGCCCGTCAACTCGCGCCCCTCGTCGAAGACTGCGATTTTATTCTTGCCCAACTCGAGACTCTTCTGGGCAAGTATGGAGATGGTCGCGCTGTCATGCCTGAGGATGAGCGCATGCGAGATGACCAGTTATTAGTCATGAAACAGAAACTTGATCACGGCAAGAGCAGCGTTGACTGGTTCCTTGACGCCGTTCAGCTGCATGCCGAGAACAGACCAACCAGGGTTGTTGATGGCCAAGAAGGCCTTGAAGGAATCAAGGATGTGGTCGACGAAATCGCCACCAAATTATTCCGGGATCGCAGCGAAGGCAGTTTTACTGAAGACGAAGATGGTCTATGGCGCGAATTCAAGCTTGAGCTAGAGAATCGAGGATTCTCTCCCCAAGTGCTACGTAAACACAAGGTGGGTGTTGATCAATCCTTTCTGTAGATCGTTACAACTAACACAGCATCAGGATGTTCTACGAGCTTATGTGCGAGAGCTCGAGTCTGTTCAGAACCAGTACGGCGGTAACTATCCCACCGTCAGAGGCCTTTTGGAACACGAAGCTCGGTCTCAACCCAGCTCTCCCCAAGAACTCGATAGTAGCCCCTATGAAAAGTACCCGCCAGTCATTATTACTGGTGGCCGAAGAAGATCAAATAGCGACCATTCCAGAGACGCAGTTCCATCTTCTCCAAGAGACGGCGACAATGAGTCCGACTACTCTATGGCACTAGTATCAACCCAGGACCTTCTTGCCCTGGATAACATCAGCTCTCGAATGGCAAACTTGAGTATCCAGCCCACTGATCAATATAGCCTGTCTCCTGGACACAGGCATTTACCACCCAACAATTTTTCGGACGTTCCGGAGATATCCAGTTCACCTACTGCGTATCACCTGGATGCATCCCCACGCTCCATGCCTTCAATGCCCCATCACGCAAGCAGCGGACCTCCGTCTTACGGGACCAGCCCGCGCAGCAGCGCCCCTCGGCTGGCTCCAGACAGATGGGGTAACGAGATTCCGCCTGAGGCTCAGTGGACAAGAATTAGACGAGATCTTGTCAGCCCTGAAGTGCTTGAACGAGCCGGTGTACGTTACGAGGCTCGCCCCGAATACGTTGCGGTCCTAGGACGCTTGTCCCGTGAAGATGTTACCAAGTTCGCCCGCGAAAGTGCTGCCTGTCGTGCTGCCCGCGCGAGACGTGACCCTCCACCTCGCAGGCATGATAACTACTCTGAGCGTCGGGACTCAAAGAGTAGCCGGGAAGAGGAAGATGATGACAGTGGAGTCTTTGATGAGACCGATGCCACAGACGAGGACGACGATAGGTCTTCAGAGAAAGGCACAAAGAGCTACCCGTTCATCGTCAATCCTCCTTCCAAGAGCAAGACATCGCCTTCGAGCACTACACTCCCCAAGCCAATCCTCAAGAACAAAAACGAAAACCACGTGCGGTTCGGCCCTGACCCGTACGAGGTAGATAGCCGAAGTCCTCGTTCTTATAGGGATGATCGTCATCGCGATCGCGATCATCACCGCGAACGTCGACACCAGAGCCCATCAAGATCTTCGCGACGCTCACGAAGGTATTCTGATGGCGCAGATCGCCACTCGCGCAGTGAAAAGCACGGTGACTATTATCATGATGGCGGAAAGCGATATCACCGTGAGAGAGATCGTGACCGTGACCGCGACCGCGACCGCGAGAGAGAACGGGATCGTGACAGGGATCGCGACAGGAGAAGCACGAGAAAAGAAGATCGTCCTCAAGGAAGGAAGAAATGGGGAGAAGCTCTCGGTGCTGTCGGTATTGGTGGTGCAGCAGTGAGTCTTTTGAGCGTGCTAGCTGAAGCCGCATCCTGATTATGACGGGCTGGTTCCGTTCCATATCCATCATACCTTCTCTTTGTCGTTTTTATATCATTTATCAATTGCTTGTGCGTATTTTGTTATTCGGACAGCACCAAAGCAACTCGGATTGATTGGGGAACAGAACAAGATGGGGACAGAGAAAAACATGGCACGAGTCTGTTTTGTATACTTTGTATTGGAATATTTGATGTACGCTTAGTTATACCACAGTTGAGACGGAGGCAGATGAGATGGGATGGCTGGTGAAGATATATGGCGAAAGTAGATACCCACGATAAGATGACCGGCATATGGCATTCATGTATGCAAATGATTTGTTTTATTACCACATCTTATGTCGAAGCTAGATGTTATGAACTATTCTTTTGAAACAATCCTTCTTAACCCACAATGCTACAAGTGCATGTTTCATTTAGGTAGCGACATGACGATAGTTTAGATCTATAGAGAATTTGTCTATAACATTAATTCCCCCTCTACTCGCTTCCACCACTCTCTTGCGTTCACATCTGTCGATTCGGGCGCAGGGCCACCTGCGCGGGGTCTGGCTATTGGGTTGCGCTTCCATTCCTTTATAACCATCTCTCGGGTCCTGGGCCACTTCTGTTGGCGTCCCTCAAAAGTTGGCTCTTCCTCAATCACACCGCGTGTCTCCATCATCTTAATTTCCAGGCCGCCCTTGAGTTGAGGTAATGTCGTACGTTTCTGCCGACTCCAAGTGAAGCGAGGTACTTCTACAGACCGCTCAAGTAATACGTAGCCTTGAGCGGTACGGTATCGTATCTGGTCGCTGAAGAATTCGCTAAACTCTGCGACAAGGTTTGGTAAGGCAGTATAAGGGAATTTTGATTTCCGCCGTGGGGAAAACATCGATGCACCTTTGAAGACCCTCGAAAGACAGTCCTGAATTTGGTACCAGACATTATCTTTTTGCGTTTCAACTCTTACACGTTGATAGCTGACCCCTGAAATTTCCTGGAGAACTTCATTAAAAACGATTTGCTGGTGCTCCTCCGCTAAACGGCGATAATGTGGTACGGCATGGTCGCGGATCACATCTAATGCCGCATTGAACTTATTCCGAAAGATAAGGCTCTTGGTGTAAACTATGTAGTCTTCGAACGTGGGTTCTATGTTGTAGGGCTCTGAAGTCATGGTGTCCCAGATCTCAGTGACCAGTTTGTGATCCACCACTGCGGAGAGGGGTTTTTTCATGAGCTTCCGCTGGGGTCGATTCGGTTTGGTAGAGCAAGAGTAGGCCCAATTATGGAGGTTGGACCATGTTTCACGCGGTATCGGGATGTTGTATGCTTTCGAAACATGGATGAGCAGATCCAATGCGAGACGGATACGCGACATGCCCCCAAACCCCTCGACAATCGCATTGAGCAAACGTACAGTAGGGGCTCTTGGGTTTCCCTCGCGAAAAGTTTTATTCCCACCGATTTGGAATATGCCTGTTTCTTTGTTCTCGACCAGACCAATGCCAAATCCTCTTTTCAGGACTATACCTCGTATGTGTGCAAGTGAACCGCTTCGAGCGAACCCAATCAAAGCATTGCATAACATCTCCTCATTTAGGAGCACACCGATATCCTTGCTGCGGCGCCAATGTGCAAAATAGCTTTGGTAACCAGTTTTCTGCCTCATCCATAAGTAGTTGCTCGCCCATAATCGGCCCGGTTGTCGATTGAAAGGTAGTTTAAGAAGGGCATTCCTACTGTGTCGTAAAGATTCCATCCGCCAAACGTTCTTCAGCTCTGTTTCGAAAAAGATTCTGTAAGCGTCACGGCTTGTCTGAGTCACTCGTTGGCGATCATATTGGTAATACACCGGGTCAATTTGGTAGCGAGCCCTTAGAAAGACGTTCCACGTCGCTGTGGTGCGCTTTGGTTGCAGGCCATCGCGTGTAATGGCGCCAAACCAGTAGATAGCTTCGTTTATGTCGCTTGCAGCACCCGCGCAGCGGATGAGGACTTCATAGTCATTTATGACAAGAGTGCGACCAGCTTCGCGGCGGGCTTCCAAGAGGGCCTTTAGGGCATTAAGAATGAAGCGATGTTGATGTCGCACACCGAAGGCGTCGATTAGATGGCAGGCATTGGTAAATTGCGTTTCCCCTTGAGAGATTTTGATACCGTGCGCAACATCCAACTCGGAGTTTTCGATAGGATCCAGCGCTCTGAGAATCGCAGAGAAGGTCGTAGTAGGGAGTTCAACTAGTTCCTGAAGAGCCGCATTGACGACTTGGGGATTTTCGTCGTTGAATGACATTACCCAGTCGCGAAATGCTTCGATGATATAGCCAACATCTCGACATCGTATGGCTCGCAGGAGGTTATCCAACAAAGTGATTCTCGTGGAGTTGTTCTCGGACAATGAAGCACCTCTTTGATGCGCAAATGTTGAAGGTAAAGTCGAAGTCAGAGGAGATATTGATGCTAACCACCGTCTTCGGCCCACCTCAGCGGGTCGTCCAGCTCTTAGCGGTGGGCCATAGCTTCGTAGCGCAGTAGCGAGTGGAGTTACCGACGAGCGATCGAGATAGGGCCCTCTAAGGAGAGATTGTCGCCGAAGCATGGCACTAGAATTGTCTGTATAAGCAGCGCACGCAAAAAGGATAACGAAGGGGAAAACCAAGGATTAAAAGAGTGGAAGACCGCGGATGTAACTGGACACCTCCTCACTCACGCGAGGGGCGTTGGCTGCCGTGTAACCTCAATCGGGAAGGTTCAGGCCAGTGCTGACATGGATAAGTGCATCAAAACATGGGGTAAATTATGGGATAAATGCATGATTCTCATCATGCTTTGCTACATAGTATCAAGCAGTTTTGCCGAAGATTTCCCAAGCTTGCCAATCCACCAATCCGCGTTTTCCCACTGAAACCTGGACTCATATCCAGCCCAGCAAAGCCCAGCTCACCACCAGATTCACTCACTGAGCCTAACACAGCCTCAACAGCAACAATCAACATAACCATGGCTGACGCCGGCGAAGAACCCCATCATGTGTCGGAGCCCCTCGACCTCGTCAGGCTCCTCCTCAACGAAGTAGTCTTTGTCAAGCTTCGAGGAGACCGTGAACTCAAGGGAAAGCTGCACGTTAGTTCATACCTTTGCCAACGGACATGGCAAGTCTCTAACATTGATACAGGCCTATGATAGCCATTGCAATCTGGTGTTAGGAGAGGTGGAAGAGACCATCTATACCGTGGATGAGGACGATGATGACGACGAGCTCAAGGTAAGCTATGGTGCGTCAGGTTGAGTATGCAATTGTGCCTGACCAAAATTTAGACCATTAGCCGGAAATCTGAGATGCTGTTTGTGAGAGGTGAGTCTTGATGCGTAATCCAGTCGATTCTATATACTAATCGTGAATTAGGCGATAGTGTTGTCCTTATCTCACCTGGAGTTCCATTTTAAAGGGAACGAAAGGAAACAGTTATGTTCTGCACATTTCCAAATGTGTGTGTCACCTGGCTCAAGGTGCGATAACGGCTTGCGCTGTGTCATACAACAGCCATAGGCACCGGGCTGCACATGGCCTTTTTGAGATCAGCCCAGGACGGCGTCAGGCCAAGATCAAGGGCTGGAACCCCTACTTCTAACCCTCAGCTCCGTTGGTTCGCAACTCAAGGCCAAATGAAGAGGCAACTACCTATCATATTGATGACTCACCCCGATGGACTTATCCTGACGGTCAGATAGAGTTAATAACAAAAAGAACATTGAGGCCAGCAACTACTGCATTTCGCATCGAAGGCTAGACTGCACGAAGAATCTTAATTACTAGGTATCTTAAACGTTAGTTTCCTACTATCCAAATAGTAATGCAGGGTTGCTCCATTGTTGAAACTTTGACCCTCGTCCATTTGCGAACCCCGGTAAATGAATGCGGCTTGAGACGCCCAGACAGCCACTTTGGACTCAAGAGGTCCGTGCACTTTCAGCTGGAGCTCTTATCGATAAGGGAGGCGTGGCGTGGGGCGTCTACCGGAGTCGTGAGTAACCACCCCGCGCATCAGGTGCAATAACTTTGTCTATGACTCTTCTCGATTTAAGACTTTAAACAGTCAGACCGACAAGAAGTGGCGCAGTTCTCTAAAGCTTCATTCTTTCAACTATAAGAACTGCCCCTCGCTATTCAATCCAAGTCAATCTGTGAACTCAATGATCATACGCGTACCTTACATGGTGTAAATCGCATGACCTCATCCTCAATATGTCGACAAAGCCATTAGCGCACGAGAAGCGCAAGGGCGAATCTGTTTGTCTATCCTCTAGAATCCTTAGATGGCGTGCGGATACTTATAAGCGGTAATTAGGCTCTTAGCGATTTCGCCGAGTATGTAGAACAGCAACAAAACCTACGGTATCCCACCGCAAGAACCACGACGGACGCGACAGGCGCAAATGATACAGCCGAGACCACCGATAGCAACACTGAGCATCACGAGGAACTAGATGAACTCTTCGACAATCTCGATCTTGCCGAATCAGTACCCCGGGTACCCCTTAAGGAGCTTCTCCTTGGGTCGACCGAAGATACCTTGAAGCAATTGGAGGATCTTGTTGCCGACCGGTTGGAGGAGGGCTTTGGAGAATGTGTGTTCGAGATCGGATACGAGAACCATGGTGAATCGATGCACCTCACTATCGACCAGTGGAATCAAGCGTTCAAGACACTCCAAGAAGCAGCGAAGCGCGTGCGCGCTGATTGCGACCTTCTATTGACCAAGAATGTCGGTGGCGACCTCGAAGCCGACAGCACTGCCGACAGGCCCACAAAGGACAAGAGCTGCAGCGGTAAAGTCCTTATTCGCCAAAACCCTGCAACAATAGAGGACGTCATTGAAACGCGAATAGCAGTCGTTGGAAATGGTAAGCCGTCCCGATGATGATGCTATTGCGTGCCCCTATTAACTAGCTACAGTTGATGCAGGCAAGAGTTCAATGTTGGGTGTGCTCGTCAAGGGTGATCTTGACGACGGACGTGGGAAAGCCCGAGTCAACCTATTTCGACATAAGCACGAGATAGAGACGGGGCGAACTAGCTCCGTCGGTATGGAGATCATGGGCTTTGATACCATGGGACAGGTCATCACTTCTGACACTCCAGGGCGTAGGTTTCATGCCTCTAATGTGATATCGGTAATTATACTAACCTCCTACAGGCAAGCTGTCTTGGGAAGAAATCGGCAAGCGGAGCGCAAAAGTCATCACTTTCACTGACTTGGCCGGCCACGAGAAGTATCTAAGAACAACAGTGTTTGGTCTGCTCTCGAGCAGTCCCAACTACTGCCTTCTCATGGTGGCAGCGAACAACGGGCTTATCGGAATGAGCAAGGAGCACTTGGGTATCGCCCTGGCTCTCAACGTTCCCGTCATGGTTGTAGTTACCAAGATCGATATTTGCCCACCCAACATTCTGGAGCAGACGTTAACCCAGATCACCAAGATTATGAAGAGTCCTGGAGCGCGAAAGATACCAACTTTCATCAAGACTCGCGAAGAATGCATCAACACGGCAACACAGTTTGTCAGTCAAAGAATATGCCCTGTGTTCCTCGTCTCCAACGTTACAGGAGAGAACCTTGATCTGGTCCGAACATTCTTGAACATCCTGCCTCACCACGGACGATACAACTCGGACGCCCCGTTTGAATTCCATGTGAACGATACTTTCTCGGTACCTTTCACAGGAACCGTGGTATCCGGCATCATCAAATCTGGAGTCATCCATGAGGGTGACAACGTTCTCATAGGACCTGACTCTTTGGGACAATTCACACCCACCACGGTCAGATCAATTGAGCGCAAGAGGATAAGGGTACCAGCCGCATCGGCTGGCCAGTCCGCTTCTTTTGCCTTGAAGAAGGTCAAGCGCAAGGACGTCAGAAAGGGAATGGTAGTTCTTCCCAAGATTGAAGGCCAAGTAATGCCCAAGGTACATCGGGAGTTCATTGCAGAGGGTAAGAATCTAAAGCACTGTTTTATTTCATCTTACTAATTCTTGCAGTTCTTATCCTGTCTCACGCAACTACTATCAAGACTAAGTACCAGGCCATGCTTCACGTCGGCCCCGTCTCCCAGACTTGTGCCATTATCGACATTGATCGAGAACTCATCCGAACAGGAGATCGTGCGACTGTTGCGTTCCGCTTCGTCCAACGGCCCGAATACCTGGCGCCAGGCGACAGGCTTCTTTTCCGTGAGGGCCGTACAAAGGGACTTGGTATTGTCAAGTCCGTGGGGTACGATCCAAATCATCCTCTGATGCCCAACAAGGACGATGGCAAGCAAAAGCAGCCCGTTAATTCCGAGGTTAGCGTTGGTGCTTGATAAAGTAGGAGAGAATTCTCGCCAGGGGCTAGATGCCCGCGGCTGTCATGACATTTGAAGGACTTGGGCAGGGATATGGAGTTTTGTTTTTCGATTCAGGATTATTGACTAGTCCAATGACTTCCGATATGGTTAAAGTTCATGTCTCTCGTTATGGTAGCGTTGATTTTAATACATAATTATGTTTAATTCCACTTCAAAGGTATATCTGCATACCTGACATCAAAGCATGCTTATCCTCCAAGGTCATGTTACCTCCATTCTCCCGACACGACTCAAATATCCTCTTTGGAAACTGAATCAGCTCTCGAATCCCTTCCACGTCCGTACTATGCCTCTCCAAATAGGTGCATATCGCTCGTCCCTCGATCAGCGATCTCCTCTGCATCCACCACGAACTATGTGCCGCGGCCTTGGCGTACCACCACGCCAGTAGGACCATAGCCCCGGGATCCTTTTCCTCCAGCAGCTTCTTAAAACGTGGATCCAGCTGAGAGATAAAGCTGAGGAAGTGGATGACGGTGTTGTCGTCAATCTTATGAGGGAGTAATTGGGCGAGTAACGAAACAGCGATGTGATAGGGGTTGTTCTCAGCATTTGACGACGATCCCACGTCGAACGCGGTGTAGAATACATCAGGCAGGGCACCAAGAGGAACTGGAAGTCTCCCATCTGGCATCCCATCCCGCTCTTTGAGCAGCGACTGAAAAATACTACCTTCCCTCGTCGGATCACTGAGTTGCCACACAACTTTCTTGCCATCGCTCATCCTGAGCCAGTTCAGATCGAGATTGTCCGATTCCCTGAGCGGCCAGGCAGCATCAACGTCTTCCACATCAAGAAGCGCAAACGACGCAGCTCCGAGCAATGCTCCTGAGGCCCACAGGGCATCGCGCTCAGGGCCAGGCAGCGTCGAAGGGTCGGCGATCGCGCCAGCGGCGGCAAGACGTCTGTGGAAGAGCGCCGTCGCTTGATACCAATGGAATGCAAGAGCTGTGCGCTGAGAGGGTACTTGGCGAGGATTGAGATGCTGATCATGAAGGAGCGTCAGGGCAACAAAGACATGCAACAGAAAAGGATACTACTTGCGTCAGTCTCAAGTTAAATTCTCTGGTCTCTCATACTCACTTGAAAGCCCAACATAAAGGCCCCCTGGGTATAAACACTCCTCGTCCTCTCTGTTCCCAGCGAAAACACTGTTCTGACCCTAAATCTCTCCACCGCCGCAAGAGCAGCATCATCAAGAATAATCTCACCCACACTTCCCTTCAGCGGCTGTATGATAGGAACTCTAAAGCCAGGGTTGATGGGGCCAAAAGTCTTGTCGATGACTGAGAAGGTAGGTCCTGCACTGCGGTGCTCGAGTTGAAGAGCCGATGGGAAGGACTGTGTGAAAGAGCATATGAAGCCTGAAGCCACACAGCGTTTGCAAGATGGCCTCGATTCATCGCACTGGTGTATAGTGAGCGAGTGTCATGCCATGCTAATGCCGGCTTGTAGTTCTTGGCCACCAAGTGATACATGGATTTGACTAGGAGACCATACGCCATGAGCAACTTACCTTTACACTCCGAAGTTTGCAATTTTTACAGCCAAGACGAGACTTCTTATGAGCCTTGCGTTGTCTCACCGGTGTCTCCCTTTTATCATCATGGGATCTATCTGTTACAGCCATCGTTGTCCTAGATGATGAAAGATAGGCTTGTTAGTCATATATGCCCGTATGGTCTTTACGGAATTGCCGGAAACGGTTGGCTTACCTGTGGAAGAGCGCCTGCGATTTGGTTTTAGAAAGATATGATAGGAAGTGCTAAGTGGGTATAATGCAGCCTATCTAGATCGCCAAGAAGGACGAGGAGACGAGTTGTTGCTAAGAGAGGTCCCTTGGATCGTTAGTAACATACCGCGACTAGCGCTTACGGACAGGGGTTTGTCTGACATCACTAGCAACAGCCCGTAATGTAGATCCTGAATATCGCCTATGAACCCTTAATAGACAATGCCGCTTTTGCATTGTCGCCTATATCACGGCTACTGTACTATGCGGTGGAAGTTGATAAGTGTCAAAGATACAATGACCAACAATTGAACGAATCCCCGAATCGGGGTTGATATATGTTTGTAGACAAGGAAACGATGTGGTATCGATACGTGAGCGTGCGTTTTTTCCAGCGCATATGTCCTACCCTAATATTCAAGGTATATCCTCCCTTCTCATGCCCATATGGAACCCAAGTAAATGACTTGCTTTGCCATCCCTTCCTCTTTATGAACGCCTGGCCCTTGATGAGAAAACGAAAAGCAAGATAACGCCGTCAAAACCTAGCCCGTTCAAGCCATACCTAATGCAGCCCATATGCTTTACTAATGCAATCCTTTTGACAAATGAAATAAGAAAATAAAAAGACATAAATATCGTAAACAGCGTGGATATCACTGTGAGTGATTCTCATCAGCGCAGGTTTGGGAAGACCTTGCTGTGAGGTAGATTAGCTCCTATTATATCCAAACACAGACGGCCAGTGCTCTTCACACTGCTCGCCCGGCTCGGTTACGGAGGGCATTCATGTCGAGTTGGATTGTTGGTCTGGAAATTTCCAGACTTCGGCTAGGCATTCTTCTGCCTCCAGGGGTTCGAGGGTTGGCAACATTAACACGTCCAGTACGGTCCAGAATCCTTGGTGGAGAATCGTCGGGATCCGACTCTGAATCATCCTGTCCCTCAAACCCGGCATCAGCCAGTCGTGCAAAGTAGTCGGCCATGCCATCAACACTCGGAGTTCCAACCACAACATCGTACTGGGGCGGAGGTGTCATCACAGTCTCACGCAAGTCTGTGACGTAGTCGGCAGCGGGAGGTGGTGCGATATCATCTTCAAACGCAGGTGGGTTAAAGCTTGGAACTCGAAGTAGGTGGATTGGTCGGGGCTCTTGTTGTCCGCCGACAGCGTTGGCAAGATGGGCAGCCTGCGGAGGTGCTGGAAGATTATCGGTGCTGGGGTTAACACCAGGGAGTGTGCCCTCTGAGGAACTGGGAGAAGCATCGGTAGGGACAGAGACTGCGTCAGGGCATCCACAGGCCGACTGGAAAGTGGTGTTGTTGCAGTTCGCGCCTGTGTAAGCCGGGAGGTTGGTGTTGGCGTGGGTGGCACGGCAGTTGAGGACCGTGAACGGGGAATCGATGCTAATCTCGAAGTGTCGACGCTTCGTGCCAGTGGGATCCTCGGGATCAATACGGCTGATTCGCATAACAACCTTTGAAATTGTTAGTCACTGTGTTAAAACCCCATCGTCAGATATTCTTACCTTGATCCAATGGAAAACATTGACGTTCTTCCAGCTGCAGTCGGGGTTGAGTCGAAGCTCCTTGTTCTTAGCCATCATCTCGCAGGTCGGGATCTGTACATTGGCCTCGATCTCTGTCGCGCCCCAGATAGTCTCGAGTCCAAGATCCAGATCACCAAGGAGGTTGGCTGATGGCTCAGGGAGTGGCTCGGCCGCAGTCTGTCGCCTGGTGGCCTCTTGTGTTCTCCTTCGAGCAGCTGCCTCACGAGCCTGTCGTCGCTGCTCAGGGTCGAGCTCTCCGCCGCGAAGGGTACGGACCTCAGATGAGGCGTATGAGGAATCGAGAGGCTTGCCAGCTGACTTCTCGAGGAGCAGAATCTTGCGGCCCGGATCTTTGCGGGTTACACGCTTGTCGTTTGTCCAGTACTCGATAGATTCTGTTACATAGACTTTAAGCTTGTGCACTTGAACCTTGGCAAGTGGTGTAAGTTTAAAGGCAATGGGAATCTTGCTACCAATGGGAAAACTCTTGCCCGAAATAACGATGTCATAATGCAATTGGTCCTCCCACTGGCGGCTAATGGAGATAGGCTCTGTCATCTCAAGAGAGAGTTGATCAGGTACACGCACAATCGAAACCTCCTTGGTGCCGTGCAGATTGGGCTTAAAGGCGCCAGCTCGGTCGACGGTGGCGTGCAATTCCCACTTCACGGATCCATACTGCAGCTTAGTTGTTTCCAACTGGTGGTGGTCGATAGGCAGTTCAAATGTGTAATCATATGTACCAGGGTAGAAGACCTTGTAACCCTTGGCTTGTGTAGCTGTGGCAATTGGGCTGTCGCCTTTCTGGAAACTGCGCGACTGAACATTTTGGAGGGACAAACGCTTCATCTCTTTGGCGGAAAGGTTGTTTTGATGCGGGGTCAAAGAAGTAGAAGGGTTAGGACGGACGAGGTTTGTAGAGCTGCCATTAGGAGAGGCGTTCTTAAGACGATAAGTGCATTGGTTACCATATTCGGATTCCCAGCCGTCATTCATGGCATTGAAAAATGTCAGTACTTGTGTGCGCAGACTCTCCTCCTCGAATACATCTTGTTTGAGGGGAGGAATGCCTTCAGGCCACTCGGTGCGGGCGCGGCCAAGAAGTTTGAGTTGGACGGCCTTGATCTTCACATTTTTTGTGACTCGCAATTGAAGTTTGCCTCGAAGTAGGGCCGTGCCGCTCTGGCCATCTCGGTTACCGTGACCATCATGGTCGAAACCTGAGAGAAAGATATTTGGCTCAGCAAGAAGAATGGAACACGACACGCCACTGCCGGAAGCGACGGGTTTGGGGACCTCGGAGACTGAAGTGACGGCAGATTTTGAAGAGCGGGCGGACATGAAACTGTTGCGATTGGGGTTGGACATAGCCAATGAAGAATGTGAAGTTCTAGCAGTCGTCATTGTTGCCGTTGCCGTTGCCGTTGCGGGTGTTGCTGACTGTGTGTTGCAATCGGCAGAATTTGAGTTAATCAATGGCGTTGTTGAAGTAAATGCGAAAGCGGAAGTGGATGGAGATGTGGATGCAGATGTTGATGCTAAATCAGGTGCCGCGGAACCGGGGCGTGAAGTTATGTCGTCATACGCTGGCGGGGATGCACTTGCCCCAGTAAATCTCGGCCCAATTGCAGGCTCACAGGTCAGGTCTAAGTCGGATTGAGAAGTCTGGCCAATTGGCTGACTGGAATTGGCAGTGGAAATAGCGCTCGCACTTTGCCGAGTCGAGCGGTCAATACTTGATGGCGCTTCGGCTGCTGTAAGACCCGAATCCAAGCTAAATGTGCTAAAGAGCTTGTCTCTACGGCGAACTGCAGGGCGAGGTTTGAAACTTCTTCGGCTGTTGTTGGTGTTGCTGAGATGATCGCTGTTGCTCCCGTTGGACGTGTTGGTTGATGTAGGTTGCAGCGATGGAGCACGCGTAGGCTCGACGACTGGCGTTAGGGTCTGCGCTCTGCTTTCTTGTCGCAACTCTTTGGGAATGTAACCCGACGGGTAGCTAATGATGTGGATCGCTTGTGGGCGAGATCTTCGAGGACCGATCAACGGCGTAGGGAAACGTCCAGCGGATATGGAAGCTTTCTTGGTGAGACGCGGACGATAATAGATGTTGTCGTGAGAAGGAACCCAAGCGGAACGACGCTGTGGGGATTCAGTAGCTGTGGTCATTGTGGTTAACGGCTGTGCTCGAACGCAAACGATGACGAGGCCAATAAAGCCAAGAAGAAAAAGCGCGGGTGGTCCAGCCGGGGAGCGAGTAGTAGAATGCAACGCAAAGAAGAGTGGGTGTAGAAGATGTAGTGTAGACTATGTGCGGATGCTCTCAGAACAAACAGCAGTGTAAGACGGGGAAAGGCAAGGTATTACACACGAGGAATAAACCGTCTGTAAAAGTCCAACACGCGTGCAGGAGAGGGTATGGTTGGTTTTTGTCAGAGGAAGAGGTTGAGCATGTGAGCGGGACCCAGGTCTAATAGTAGTAGATTGATCCAGGGCGTGATGTGATATTGGATATTGGCGGAGAGGAATTAGAATGCCAGGGAGGGGCTAACGAGAGCACGAGTAAATAAAAACGAGACGGGGTGTAGCAGTGTTGCAGCGGTGATGGTATGGCTTATGGATAAAGGTATGGCATGGTATGGGGGCATGGGTCTGAGTCTGAGTCTGACCCTGAGTCGGGACTCAAAAAGCACAGGACAGCTAAATCGCAGTGCCCATCAATTCCCTAAATTATGCGCTGGCATCCAGATTAAGGCTGATAGGTGAGAAAGGTATCCGTACCCCGGGCAGGTTTATTGACTTTCATGGACTGGGCAGCAACCTAGTAACTAGCATCCAGGCATCTAGGAAAGGGAAGGGAAGAGAGGAGAAGCGACCAGGGGTGTAAGGATAGGTCACGCCTTGTTCTGGCGGTTAACGCTGGCGTTGGCGGCGTTGGCGCAGTGGGGGACGATGCGGGCAGTGGAGAAACAGGGCAGAGGATTACGGACCTGGGGCCGGTTGACAGGGTATGGGTATTCAATCTGTGGCCTTGTCTCGTCTTTATTGTGCACTTTAATGTGTAGACAGACAGCCCAGAATTTGGAATGTGCATGTGCATGAGCATACAATACACACTCCATATGCCTAGGAACAAAATGATCATGGACAAGAACTAGCGGTGATGTGACCGATGGTGGAGAGAAACGAACAACAAAGAAAGACCATGAAGAAAACAAACAGGCTGTCTTTGTCTTGCCTTGCCTGGCTTGGTATGGCCTGGTCTGGCCTTGCGCTGCCCTGTTTCTTTGACAGGGAGATCGACACAGTTGCGGCTGACAGCAACCGATGCAAGATTGTATTATGAGATTGATCATCATTGGACCAGACGCATTCATCCCACTCGGGACGATGCATACAAAGTGCATAACATAACACCCGATCCATTATCAAGAATCGACTCGATTCATTGCAATCGATCAAATCAAGAAAGGGGGCGTGTGACTGGTCCAAGAAACAAGAAAACCAATCCAAATTGCATGCGAACATCAAGACGAGAAACATAAAAAAAAATAGAGAATACGTACCTTTTTCTTACTAAAACATGGAAATCCGAAACATCAGATTCAAGGGATTCGCTTGTGGCTAGTGCATCTGTAGCCTCTGACGCGACGAAGCTCACTGGCGGTGATGAGAACGAGAATGAGGCCCCAGCAACCCTGGTCGCTATCCCCGTTTGTGTTTCTGCGCCGCCTGAGATTGAGATTGAGATTCTGGATACGGAGTATCTCCACTCTCTCTGTTGATGCTGAGCTGAGCTCACCTGAGGATCGTGAGGGAATGCGGTCAAGAAGCGTGACGGCGGTTGAGGCGGATGAAAGAAAAGTCCAACTCAATCCAATTCAATCCTATCTGCCCAGCTCAATTCGATGGCGTTGAACAAAAGAATAAAGAAAAGCAATGCAATAATAATGCAATGCAATCTTCAGGTGCCTGACGGGTAAAAATCCAATTAAGCACGGTTCACTTGAGGCTGCTGGGCTGAAGTTTGAGACCGGCCAGAGCGACGGAAGTGCAGCAGACGAAGCAAGGCAAGGCCAGCCAAATTCGGCTAAATTGTCTCGTTGAAAAGGAACGACGGCGCAGTCGTTACGAAATGAGGTCGAGTTTGCGGAGGGTAGAGAAAAAGAAAAGAAAAACAGGAACCCAAGGATAAATTTAAGTTAAGACCAGGCAGGCCAAAGATCAGGTATGTTAGGTGAAAACGGTCCAAGGGTCCGACAAGACCATCAAGGAACAAGAACTGAGGAGACCTAAAGAGGGCCAAAGGTTTCCCAGACAAGGATTCTTGGAGCGCTCGAAAAATATACTAAGGGGTTTTTGATGGATGATGATGATGATGCAGTCATTTGTTGTAGAGCACTGCGGATGAGGGGTGGATGATTTGGAGGAACAGGGAGGAAACAGACAAGAGAGAGACAAGATTGTTATCTAGGCGGCATGTCTTGGGGTAATTGTATTTCGCATCAAAATCGAGGTCATACCATACCGGGCTATGACATTTACCAAGCCACTTTGCTATCCGAGGAAGACATTAGAGTGAGAAAAAAACCGTGCTATCCGTCCTTCCCGTCAGTGCAAAAAAGCATCATCGTCACTGCCTCTACCCATAGTGAAGGCCCCGGAGGCTGCGGAGCAACCCCGTATGATTGTCGGGGTGTCTTCTTTCGGTGACGCGGCATCAAAACCACAACCCTGTCTTTACTTATTCGAGCATGCAGAAAATACCATACCATGCCAACTCAGATAAAGCATAGTCAGGGTCTTTGTTTAAGCCCCAACAGCGGACGACGGGCGACGTAATTAATGTGTGCTTGCTTCCATCATGGCAAGTGCCGAGTCGGTCACCAGACATGCTATACCAGAGCAAAGCCTCACTGAAGCTGGGCAAGGCTGTTTTGCCAGAGGACAATAAGCTTTTGGAGACAAATTCGGAGATACTGATGACCACCGATATCTACTAATTTAGGAATAAGAGAAGAGAGGTGACAGAGTTGGCCGTTCCGGTCCCGAAGACTCCACACGTAAAAACAACCCAAGATCTGAGGGTCCATCCATCTCCAGTCTGTGAAGGATGACGGCAGAAATGGTCAGCATGTTGCAGATTACATATCCAACTGTACATTAGTTTTTACCTCTAGCGAATCGTAATCAACGGATATGATGCCGAGTTTCTTCATCATGAAGTATGTGAACATGTCAGAGCATCGGCAGTAGTGAGCCGAAATCCTGATAACATCTGCAATGTGTGAACTACATCATTCACTCTGAATCGACAATTCTCTCTCATCGTGAACGAAAAACCCTCAATTTTCTCCAAGGGTATTCCCGCATCGCAAGGATCCTGCATCAATCTTTGTAAAAGCCGTGATGATCCCTGGACTAAGGCTATTTCGCTCTGTTGTGAGTGGGCTGTGTGGAGTGGCTATGGATGCACAAATAAATCATCCGTCATGGCAAGGGTCTACTGTGTACCGTCTTCATTATTATTTTTTCTTTCTTTTTCGGTTGGGCGAAATGCCGAACTTGATCCATGATTCCGACGACAATCTTGCCCTGGTCGTCTTTGCCGAGGCGAGGCTGCGTGTATTTTGTTGCTTGACACTCCATTTGCTATCCATCGCCTCATTCTCTTGCAGCAGCAGCTGACGCATGCACAATGCAACTACAAAATATTTCTATGCATGCAGCTTTAGTTTGCATAATGGGAATACCATCGGGTATAAGGTTACGGGACAAACTTGTCCATTGCATCTCTGGGCATCGTGTCGTGAACAAGCCATTGATGAATAACTTTACATATTACGGCCCAAAGGAGATGAATTCTATACGTATCAAATCTTAACGGTTGTGCTCGTTTCAGTGTAACAGCTGGTTCGGGGTTTCACGTTAAATTTCCTGATTACGAAGGGATCCCTGTATACAAAGGCTCGTGCCCACAATGGTGAGGCAGTGGTTCCAGTTGAAGACCAAGCCATAAACGCTGTGATCACCTTAACCCAAGCTAGAAGTTCTTACGATTCTAGACCAGACGTTCAAACCCGAGAAACGCGATAAACGAAAAAATAAAAGCGAAACCGTGAATTTGCGCTCGGGAGTTGTAAATGGTCCCACCTTTGAACTAGGACTATTGATGCTCTCCAGCCAAAAACATGACTTGCCAACTCAGTGCTGATCCCTAACTTTAAATTTTCCTTGAATATAACGCGCCTAATAAGCAGCCCCAACCTGGGTTTTCATATCTCTTTCAAGTATCCATAAATATCAACAAGCTGTAGCCTGTCTCCTGTGTCCACCCAGCAAGTATGAGTGGACGAGTTTCCACCAGGTAGGAAAGGGCCTTGAATGCAAACGTCCATGCTTTCGCCTGTTCATAAATAGAATGGAAGGTTTTAGAGAAAGCTTCTAGTGTCGTCTGTCTCATCTCCTCAGTGGTTCTAATCTCGCAGGCAAGGCCGTGAAAAGAAAGCATGGGCCATGGACCATAGACATGGGGTGCTTTCCAGCCGCGATCGTTTCGACCGGGCTCCCCGGTCGCATTTGCCAGGGGTAGCTAAGGATCAGCGTCTTGTGAGGTCATTGTTCTTTTTTTTTATGGACTTCAATTGTTAGAGTCTTTGTTTTAAACTTTTCCTTCTCTAGGTACTGTGGGTATAGGGTAATATCTTTGCAATTACTTAGGGCTTCTGAGTGTTATTCTGTATGAGCATTTGATAATGACTTTATGTGACTGACTAACAATTAATTGTGATTTTTTTGCTACAGTGTTGGCAAGTCTTTGGTGTTGAAGCGCTGTCCACACAGTCAGGGTCTAAAATAAGGCTTGTCGTTCTACCGATAGTCCATCACATTCTATCGACAATCCTCTGGCCGTGACTCAAGACCACCGGATCATCTCCGAAACTAGATAGGGCCCAACGATCTGGGAAGGTATGGATCTTCGCCGAGGTCAAGTTTGCAGAAAGGATCTCAAATCTGTGGTCGCCAGCACGTGTCAGTTAACCACTGACATTGGGCCTTGGAAGACCTGCCGGCCAAATCGAGAGTATTAGTTCACGAGTCTCTAAATATAGGATGCTAGTATTGCAGGATATTAGATCTCAGATTGTAAAACATCCTTGGCGATGTTA